GCTTTAACTGTAAATTCCCTTTTTTTCAATCAAAATGTTCGAAATTACCTAAAAATACTGAATTGCACACTAAATTTGCTCATCAAATAAATCAATTATACTATACTGTTAGATCTGTAAAGCGTAACTGTTTTACTGAATAACTATCTTTTAACTAAAAGTAAATCTAATAATTCTTCGAGTGCAACAAAGTCTTAACCTAACCTGGTTAGGTTACCTGTAGGTCGTGAAAAAAAAAACAAAACCTAACCTAACCTAATATTCAACAATTTGTGTGCAAATCAGTATTTTTAAACGACTTCAAAAAAGGAGGAGGTTATACGTTCGGCCGGTATGTTGTTTTTTTTTTTTTTTGTATGTATGTACGCGCATAACTCTGAGATGCGTGAAGCGATTTGCAAAATTTTTGTTTTGTTGGAAAGGGTATACTCCTAAGATGGTCCCATTTCCATGAGGTCAGGATCTGATGATGGGATCCTAGGGAAACCAAGGGGAACTTTCGAAAATTATATGGGCGAGTGATGCGTCTATTATGTTTTTCAATTAGGATTTTTAAACACTACAATTTGATAAGGGTCTGGAATCGACCTGATGATGGAGCCGATAGACAGTCGAGGGAACTCCTCAGCGGTTTATACTAACTACCTTGTGTTTGGGCTTGATTAATTTGTATTGATGAGGACTTTACACCTAGATAGAGTGGGGCTGTCATTAAAGGTCTGATGATGAAGAAGTGTAATTGCTAAGGGAACTCCTCAACGGTATACAGTAACTACTTTGTGTTTGGGCTTGATTAATTTGTATTGATGAGGACTTTACACCTAGATAGAGTAGGGCTGTCATTAAGGGTCTGATGATGAAGAAGTATAATTGTTAAGGGAACTCCTCAACGGTATACTGTAACTACCTTGTGTTTAAGCTTGTATAATTTGTATTGATTAGAACTTTGCACCTATGTAGATTATAAGTAACAAAACGGGTATATGTAGCTTTACACTGAAAATGATAAAATAATAAAATAAAAACTGCGTTTAAAAAACCGACTTCAAAAAACCAAAAACTAATAACAAACAAAAAGTCTAAACTAAAAGGCAAAAAATAACTATTATTAGTACTGATAGGTTACCCACCCACTGATAGGTAAGAAGTCGGTGCCATAAGTTCCATACAAAATTATTCATTAAAACCTTAATAGGTTACCTAATTCACAATTTTGTGGACAGTTATATCATTATGATATGAGCTTATGGCACCGACTTCTAACCTATCAGTGGGTGGGTAACCTATCAGTACTAATAATAGTTATTTTTTGCCTTTTAGTTTAGACTTTTTGTTTGTTATTAGTTTTTGGTTTTTTGAAGTCGGTTTTTAAACGCAGTTTTTATTTTATTGTTTTACGGTTCATTTTTTGATATGCAGTAGGATATTAGTGGAGAAATTTGGTTTGCTTAAATTTTTAAATAGAGGTGCAGTAAAAAATTCCCCCTTAAAATTATTTAAACGACTGGAAAAACTCAATAACAATTTCCCCGTCCCGGAATTTGAACCCGAAAACCCTGGTTTAGCAGTTGACTGAGCGCGAATTTCCACTTATTCTGTTTAATTAACAACATATTGCCATCATCTAATATTATCTTTGGTGAAATAGCTCAGTGCGATGTTATGCAGCTCAATCATTTTATAACAAACACCGTAAAAGAAGCGAAAAATCCATAAGCGAAAATTACTAAAAAGAAGCGGTTGAAAAATAGCCGGCGGAATTAATTTCACCCTGACTTACCAAGCTGGGTAAACAGAGATTGAAGCTGAATTCATCACGAAGTGGGTCAAAGGCTATTGTAAACATTGAGGAACTCGGGTCAGGGATGTGACAAATATTACTGGTAATTAACTGTGAGTATCTACATGTATGTATCTCTGAAGATAGTACTTAGGCACGTCTTTCTGTTGCTACAGTATAAAAATATACTCCGCCTACAATAATATGTTGTGTAAGTCTCTTGGACTTATTTGCTTGTGAAGATGGGAATATATTTGTATATACTACAAAAATATGGGCGAGATGTAAACAAAGAGTTCGAACCTAACAGTCTAAATACATCCAAATAATGAAGCAATTCTAGATACATACATTCATAACAAGATACCTTTAAGTCGTCGACGAAAGAAACCAGAATGTTCATCGTCGATAATGTAGGATTCCAACGATAAAATATTTTTTCAAATCGACCCGGTAGTTTCGAAGGAGATTCCATTCAAACAAACAAACAAAAAAAATCACATCTTTCTTTTTTATACTATTAGTGTAGATTTCAATGTAATCCAGTTTTCACCGATTATGTAATAGTCACATTTTTTTTTAAATAAGCCTGTAAACAATCCGACGTGTCACCTGAGCAAGCAATCGCCGCCGCCCATGGACACCCGAAACACCAGATGTGTTACGAGTGCGTTACCAACCTTTTGAGGATTATTGGGTATTTGCGAGAGATTGGGGAGAGTAATTCGGCCCCGGTAACCTCACTCACACGACGAAACACAACGCAAGCGTTGTTTCACGTCGGTTTTCTGTGAGGCCGTGGTATCACTCCGGTCGAGCCGGCCCATTCGTGTCGAAGCATGGCTCTCCCACACTTACTCCACATATAAAAAGTGTGAGTTTGTTGCCATACACTGAGCACAATTCTATTCTATAATAATACATACTTTGTCTGACATCAAAACTCCTTGTTCAGCAGTCGTATTTGCGGCCACTTGACCAACCGACAGGCAATTATTATAAATTGAATTTATAAATAATTTATTGGTTTTAAGTAAGTACTGAATCTGGTTTCGTATTCCGTAGCAATGAAACCGCCTCCTATTAAACGGGGATTAATAAAATATCGCCTGAAAATCGCGGACAGGGAAAAACTGCGAAGCAATTTATTTTATTTTATTTCGTACTTTAGCATAAATAAGTCAAATCTATATTTTCAATATTGAGCATAAACCAAGGGGCTTGTAATGTAGTAATATGAAAAAAAATATTACAACGATATAATTTCTAATGAACCCACTCGATTACGAAAAAAATCTAGGAAAACATAGTAAACAACTTAGACAGAATATACATATTACATATTTCTAAGATTCGTTTTTCTCGACAGAACCAAAACTATTGTATCGTATTTAATATAACGTATTCGTTCCGAATAAATTGCCCGACGACAGTGAATCAAGTGGCCCGTCGATCAACGTAATAACGTCTTTATTAACCGGCAATTCTATACAGATTTTACTAAAAGCTAGCCACTTTAATCCACTTAAGCATAAATTTACATCGGTCCCTCGGGAGTAGCGGCTAAGCATCCAGTGACTTCAGGCCGTCGACTACGACGCAAATACACCTGATTGCTCCTTGTAAAACATCGCAAGGTTCCATACGAGCGACACGTCGCGAAAACTCGCTACAATGAAACTAGGTTTATTAGTGGCTTTTATTTCCATTGTTATAATATGCTACAGTGAACTAACGAACCAATACCCCGATCTAATTCAAATCGAAAACGAAATTGAAAAAAGTTACATAGAGAAAGTTCGGGAGTTATGGAATTATGAAATCCAAACAAAAGTTCAACAAATGCAATTAGATAGAAAAAAACGTTCCACAAACCAATCGGACGTCGAAACTGCATATAGAATAGCGAGCGAGCCTGAACCCGAACAGAGAAACCTTACCGATTCAGCCAACACTTCGACTGTGAACAAGCACGCGAAATTACTTGCAAATTTCAAGCAAAATTGGCCCGTATCTTTATGGACACAGTACGGATTTTTCTCTGACGACTATCTGGATTTGATCAACGAACATTGGCTACAATTTCCACCTCCTAGTGAATCGTTACAAAAGTTTTTAGGCGGGTTCTATGTTATGTTTTCTACAATTGGCTGCTGGGGCAATATCATCGTTTTACTTATGTATCTGAGGTAAGCTAAAGATTATTATCTGATATCTACATTTATTTTACTAGTAGCAATAATCGTACAAGAATGAACGCGACTGCGAATACGAGGTCATGAATGAGTCCAATTACAGGATGGAGCAAACTGTTATTGGATTTTTCGGTTTCGGAATTGTCAGTAGTTTCGAGCAGTCTGCATACGTGCCCGATGTATGGTAATGAGCTCGTCCCTTGTTACGAGGGACGGTAACGTGTCTGTGAAAAGATTATACTGTTTGTTAGTTTATTCTTACCTGGAATATCATTCATATGATTCCTTGACAATGTCCATTGACAATATGACAAATCGTCTCTACCTTTCCTTAGGGAAAATGAAACATTTTTTGAAGGTAAATAGCCTAATATTTTAATCCGGCTACCGCTATATTTTCTCACTTCATCAGCAGTTCCTCCTTATAAATAAAATGTTACATTTAATAATTAAACAATTAATTTACCGACCGTAAACCGATATATTTTTTAAAAATATATAGTAAAATTAGTACATAAGTTTACACAACTAATGGTTATTTATCCATCATAATCCATATTGGAAAACCAAGTTTAACTTGTCATTCCTACTAGTACTACCTACTTGTAGAATAATAAAGTTCACGTAACACTGAGCTCCTATTAAAACATTTATGGTCCGATAAAACTACCAAGTCTGCTAGTCACCACTCGTTTACTATAAAACTCGGCGTTCAACACGAAGTAATAAATAAAGCCGGCACCCAATCCAAGTATCATAAAACTGTTTCTTTTACTGTGTCGAACGACTAAATATACTCAACTGGTGACGTTTTCTATATTAAAAATATTCTGTTCTCAAAATAATTCCCCTTTAAGATTGTTCAGTAAATTGTCAGCTGAGAGAAATAATACCGCATCCATAGCGGGACACATTTCGCTCGTCGGCGACGCACCGGCTACATTTTGTCTCGGAAACCATCGGGAACGGTTGTGTCCTATTAATTCATAGACACACGGCGACTTCTTCGGGTAAACGTAAATAGTATGTTGAATATATTAATTATAGCTCTGGTCGCGGCTTCGAATATAGTGTATTGTATGAATGTCGACACAACACGAGTGGACAAAACATACACGGTTCAGTTGCAAAGTGTTAAAAATAAGTGCATATATTGTAAAATCGCGAAAATAGTTACATTGAAGCCATTCAAGTGTCATAATGACTTCCTGTGGCGTTGTTTGGATGATTTAAAACAGTGGAAAAGGCGGCGAAGAAGTTCTGATAACTTTCAAAATGAATTTAAAAACGATCACAAGAAATTAAAGTTCGCGGATTTCGGGATGAATGATTTGACTTCTTATCATAGTAGTGTAGATATTGTTAAGACTACGGCATCAAGTGTGTCTGATAATAAAGCAGATTTGCTAAAAAAGTTCGTGAAGATATGGCCCGTACAGAGATGGCACGCGTTCGGTTTGTTTACCGAAGACTACCTGAAGCAGATCAACAGTCACTGGCTGCAGTTCCCTCCCCCTGATACACGTATACAGTACACATTTGGCATCACATACATATTCTTGGCGGGCACCGGAGCTTTCGGCAATATTCTTGTACTTCTTATGTATGTAAGGTTAGTAGTTAGTAGATACTCTAATATCATCATCAGCATCAACAGCCCGTGGCAGATCACTACTAAGCTGCAACGATTTCTACATTATCTACAGTTCTACATGGTTGGCAGGCCTTCCCAGTTTAAAAAAATTTCAGGTTTTTTAAAGAGCGCTGCTGCCTGTTTGCTTTATCAAATCTGTAGAAGTCCCTTAGTTGTCTTTTACGACATCGGTTAGTAGGGGTGATCACAAATAATTCCACTCCACCGTCACCACACATCTTATATTCATACAGATACTCTAATAAACATAAATAAACTACTCAAATTGCGGAAGTCTGGAATGCATAACGACATGCATCTATTTCGACATCAACTTATGCGATATATCTCACGTGTCGTACGGGAATATGTAAATTCTAATGATAACTCAATGACACACGCACTTATGGTTGACAAGCCAACGATTCCATGCCAATAGCTTTTCCACGGAGTATCATAAAACATCTGCTTGCAAAATTCCCTGCGACTGAATTGGATGGTTGGTTTATTCACAAAACAAATCAGTTTTATCGGAGGGTCGAAGGGCTGCTCTTAGGTTTGTGCAAGCAAATCATCATAAAATGGACAACTACTGCTCGTATACATACTAATGAGAATCAATCAACTTGCGGAAAGGTCAAGCAACCCTGGCAGTCAGCCAGGATGTAAACATGAAAGGTAACGTGTCAAACCGAAGATTTGTTTGGTTTGAAATTCTTTAAAATTATGACATGAAATCGCGTGCGCACTCTAACTAAATTACAGAAGCAATTTGCATAATTATAAAGCAAAATTAGTCCAACATTACAATCGCCAATCCACATGTGATCCAGTGACCCAATTCTTAAATGACACGAGCTAAAGTTGGCAAATAAACATTGATTTTATTTGCCAAACGAATCAAGTGTTCCTTCAAATAACTGCTAAACCTCATTCACTTAATTGTATGATAAGCGCTTACTCTATAAGAAAGTTATTTTGGGCATCATTTGTGCTCAAAGATGATAATTAAGCGACCTTTGCCTGCAAATGGGATCAATAAGTAATTACACACACGTAAGCCGAGATTATGTTTGGCCAAATATAATCGAGACAGTTTCCAGAGTCTAATATTGTTTTAAGCTCAGTTTGTATCATAATTTTGGCCTCGATACAAATAGTGCTTACAACTTCTGACAAGTTTTCATGATAATTGATTACTGTATTCATTTTGAATGACTCGATACAATTACTCAACTAGATTTTGGAGCATCTACCAGTCTACCTAACATCATAATGCCATAATTTTTCCTAACTATATTTCATACATAACTCATAGCATTACACCTAATACTGAACAGATATAGGTAGGATGTATACCCATTTTACAGTTGGTTTTCAGAAACTAATTAAAAAGTCAATACATAAATACCTCTTCCTCAGGTGATAAAATACGACCAATTCGATTACAAGTATAATTTCCGCATCATGTACAGAGTGGGCATAATTTCGTAACAAATATATTCCGACAGAATAATCAGGCCATAATGTTCCCACAGCTGGGACTCGGGCTTTTGTGCAGGAAGGCCGTTATATCCACCTGGGCCCACGGTACAAGTTGGTGACATGTGACACGGTGTTATACTACTTATAAGTTGTTTAATTTATGTTCTGGTACCGTCAATGAAAGTTTAACGTTTGAACTCCGTTTTAACCACATGTCCACCGGACAGAAAAGACGAAATTGGTAGACAACTAAAAATTCATATAACCAACAATTCTCTGATCGCCTTTTTGCTAAAGAAAGTGATATAAGTTCGATACTCTCACTCTCAGTCTTAATCAATTTGTCAGTGTTAATTTTTCTTCTTACTGTTCTGGTTCAAAAACCAAATAACAGGTTCAATCAAATAACAGGTTAAATCAAATAACAGGTTAAATCAAATAAACGTGACACGTATCCTTTTAGCGATACCTACGAGGCGCCTTTACAGAAAATAAATGGGGGCAATAATACTGTATCGGATATCTGATACGAAAAAATTGGTTCATGCACGGTATGCACGTGTTTACAATATAGGTACATATATACGTATGTATGTTTACGCTCATTCCCCGTTTAATAAAAGTGATGGGAAATGGATTTATTTTATTTATGTTCCTTCCTTAACAAACTTTGAGGAAGAAATGAGTGTAATCTTATGTTATGATGTTATCTACTATATAAAAGTAAGTCGGGTTTTCCTTCCTGACGCTATAACTCCAGAACGCACGAACCGATTTCCACGGTTTTGTTCCATTCGTTGGAAAGGTCTCGGACTCCGTGAGGTTTATAGCAGAGATAATTAAGGAAACAATTTTTCTTCATCTTTTAATCACCAAACGAAATGTTACATAAAACGATGCCATTCGGTGGCGAAACGGAGTTCGCCGGGTTTGCTAGTTAATACTAAATAAACAAAATTTGAAGACTATATGCCCAGAAGGCAATAAAAATGTCTTATTTTTTCATATAATTGAAGAAATCGTGTTAAGCAAAATAACATTATAATAATTCTAGTCTCTTTGAAGCTTAAAATATGAAAAGAAGTTACGGACAATAAGCTAAATTAGGTACTCAATTTACTAACAATTATGTATCTGCTTCAAGCGATTTTGAAGTATAAGTATTTTGCGGCTAGAATTTGAACATAAAACAAATTCTTGTAAAAGATTTATACCTATATCTACATAATTATGTGAATAGATATTTATTTGTACTGATTTTTATTGTCATATTTATTTCATTGTGTAATTCATTTTACTTTCTAAAATTATTTTAGTCAACGTTCAAGAAAATCTACAAAACCTTAAGACTTAAAAAGGTAACATAACAACACGCCTGTTATCCCGAAGGGAGAGGCAGAGGTACACATTACGGCACTTAATGCCACTGTACACAATATAACACCCACTTTTATTATTTATGTTATGAGTCCCATGTAATAAGGGGTTGTGCCTATTGCCACATACCGGGCACAATTCCAAACTCCGTGTTACTACTGAGAATTATTTAAAAAACCCAGTAATACTTTGCCCAACCCGGGAATCGAACCCGAGACCCCCTGCCCGGCAGTCGCACTTGCGACCACTCAGCCTCATTGACCGTAAAAAGATATTAAAACAAAAATTAAAAATGAAAGTTTCTTCGAATTTCTCAAGACACCAAATTTGCTAGACATAACAGAGTCTAATTTAAATCTATGAATTATTTATTATTAACCTAAAACTATGAATGTAAAATGCTTCAGTTAAATAGGTACTAAGAATACTTAAATTAACGTTAATAATGTGATGAATTATATTAATTCTATGAATTCTGTAATTGGGATGATGACAGGGTATGAAAATTAAAAATGTAATTAGTTCGTAAGTTAGGTAATTAAAAAATATTAGACACGTATTTTTTAATTTTGTCGTAAAATAAAACAATCCTTAGATAAAACGAATCAAAGTTTAGGAGTGGGGGCTAAAACGTTATTAACATTATTTATGTACATAGCAGTGACGTCACGCGACATTTCAAATCAATATATCATCGACAGAAGAAAATAAAAAATACGTGTCTTATGATTTAAAATAATCTACAAGACGGACATTAAAATAAAGATTAGCGGACGGCGAGCATAGATGGCTCGCCGCCCGACCAGAACCAGACCCGAGCGTACGGCTCGTGGCGTTCCGCACGCGCTTCAAAGAGCTATCAGACCACCACGGATGGGGCCCAATAGGGCTGATGCCGATACGGAGTCGCGGAGAACCTAACGGGTTACCGGGGCTTCGGCTCGAAGTGCAGGAGTAGGAACGGGGTGATTTTTAGTCAGTAAGAGTCTGACACTCCCTCTCGTCTCACCCTAGGCGGGTACAGTCATTCGATGATTATCCCCCTTAAAAAAACCCTATTATAGTCATATTAAGTAACATCTCACTACACTTAGGTGCAAACGCTGGTCGATCGGCTGGTATCCAACGTGGGATAGATTCCCAACAAGATACTTTGATCTACAAATTCACATTCTATCTGTCTGGACTTGTTTATGTAGATAAACGCACTTCCATGATATGAGAAAGTAAAAAGCCGCGGAGAACTTAACGGGTTACCAGGGCTCCGGCTCGAAGTGCAGGAGTAGGAACGGGGTGGTTTTAGTCAGTAAGAGTCTGACACTCCCTCCCACCTCATCCAGGCGGGAGAAGTCACGCGATTATTTCCCCCGTTAAAAAAATATGATAAAGTCCTGATATACATAGATCTAGGTAGCGCCAGAATTCATAAATTTCTACAAATCAGAAAAATCAATTTCAAATGTGGGAGAGCCATGCTTCGGCACGAATGGGCCGACTCGACCGGAGTGATACCACGGCCTCACAGAAATCCGACGTAAACGTTTGCGTTGTGTTTCGTCGTGTGAGTGAGGTTACCGGAGGAACAATTACCCTTCCCTTCCCCGAGCTACCCAATTCCTGAATCCCCAACGATCCTCAAACTCCTAATCCTCAAAAGGCCTGTAACGCACTTGTAACGCCTCTAGTGTTCCAGGTGTCCATGGGCGACGATTGCTTACCATCAGGTGATCCATCTGCTCGTTTACCGGCTTATGCTATTACAAAAAATAGAAAAAATAAAATAGTGAAGCACTTTTTTATGTGGGAATACTGATCCGCTGCTGTCTTCACGTACACACGATTCGAGTATACGGGTTTTATCGCAATTACTTCACGTTAGGCCATTCCTTTGTAACGTAGGATTGAAATACGAGATAAAAGCTTTCATCTTTTATATTTATTCAAATTACTTACGTTTAATCTTCAAAATTAACAACTTATAAATTATACATATAATAACATGTCGTTAGTCAAATAACCTCTCCTGTCTCACCATTAATTAGTGTCATATGAAACAGTTATTAGTTTCAAATGCCAACATTTTTCAGTGGACTGTAACATCTTTATAGCCAACAAAC